TGATGAGTATACTCTTTACTTACTTCCACGTTTTTATTCCCATGTTTTACTCATTAACTCTATCATCACGCACTTTCTAAATTATCATAAGAGAAAAAAAAAAAGGAAAAATTTTGTCGTCGTTTCATCATTTTTGACGACGATGACGTTTTAAATATCGTACCTGAAAATTTTTGATGAAATAAACGAGGACGACAGGACGAAGAGGCAGGGATTTCGATCCGAGACGGTTTCATTTTTAGGTTTTCGTTTAAGGTTCATTTTCCTCGGGTGTTTTTTTCCACGTGTGCGGGGGATGGGGTTGGGGGTGGAGGTAGGGGGTAGGTACGTAGGTGCGAGATTCGAAGTGCCGTTGATGTTTATTTAAAGGTTATTAATTTATTTAGAATCGAATTAATTTTAAAACGAAAATCGTACGATGATGATTTTGTTTTTATCCTTCGTAAGGAATTTTCCAAAATTTTCCCCCGGGAAGGGGAAGGGGGGAAAGGGAGGAGAAGTTTGTTTGTTTTGGAAATGCGAATTGCGATCGATCAATGAAAGGGGGGAAAGTCGACCAACGAGATTTTCACTTTCGTATTCGTTTTTGCCCCCCCAAACCCCCAAAACGGAAAAAAATTAACACGCACGCACGCACGTGTACGCGTAGATCCTTTTTCCCTCGAACGGGAAATTAAAGCTTTCGGGCGGGAGGAGGGGAAGGGGAGGGGAAAGGGGAAGAGGGGACATCATTTTTTTTTTAGCCACGAGGTTGGTTTTTTTGCGTTTCAGCCAATAAAAAAAAAAAAAAAAAAAAAAAAATTTGCCACAATTTAAAAAGTAATTTAATTGCACAGCGGGAAATTCATCCTACGTGAAACCACTTTGCAACAAAAAAAAAAAACGAAAAGAAAAAGAAAAAGAGAAAAGAAAAGAAAAGAATGAAAGAGAGAAAGAAAGAAAGAAAGAGAGAGAGAGAGAGAAAAAGTTTACCGTTAATGAAATATATATAAAGTGGAGGAAAGATACAAAAAAGATACAAAATGTATTATTTTTCAATTCTTTTGATTTATTATTATTATTATTATTATTATTATTTATTATTATTATTTTTTTTTTTTTTATTATTATTATTAATGTGCGTCCTTCAATGTTTGTGCAACGTCGTTTCATCTCGGATTTAATTTTTTTTTTTTTTTTTCAGTACACGATCAAATTCCGCGAGCGAACGTTTTCGAAATAAA